TACAGATCGTCATAGGTGTTATAGTGCACGAAGCACGTACAGTGAAGCAGGAAGCCCAAAAATGGATTGACTGCAAAACCCAGTCGTTGAAGTGACAGTGAGCATGCCAAGCCTCGGGCTCATTGTCAGATAAGCCAGACCGGTTTATTTTTAGGGGCGAAGCTCCTTAAGTTCTAGCCTTATCCGTCCGTCCGGCCGGCCGGCCGGCCGGCGTCCATGCTTGCAGAAAAAGAAAAAAAAAAATGTTTGCGCAGTCTACAGGATTCGAACCAGTGCGGGGAGGCCCCAATGGATATCTAGTCCATCACCTTAACCACTCGGCCACGACTGCGGGACGAGTAGGGGGCTCCGAGATGTGGTAGTAACTCAAGAGCTGGGGTTTCTGTCATGGATGAAACGTTGCATGTAGCCGCTCAACGTCTATACTGGAGATGGTGCTGCGGTCAAATGCGTATATAATCGCGTTAAACTTTGCATGCATAGTCTCAACGTGTATCGATGAGAGGGCGCTGCGGTCAAATGCTGAAATGCGCCTATAACCACGTTCCATACGACACATTCTCTTTCTGACATAGACCGTTGGCTTAAGCGGTGGAGATGCGTTCCCATGGCTTTTAGCGGATCCAAGCTGATCCGCATGAAAATCCGCTGAATCCGCAAGATTCGGAAAAACCACCGACTCTGCATTTCACCAACCCTAAAGCAGTAATATTGAAGTCGAAACGCAACCCGGAACTCAGCACTACCTATGAGCAATAAGAAAAAAACTCAGCACCCTCAGCACTACATATGAACAATAAAATCAGTATTATCAGCACCACCAGAGCTTCGCCCCAATGAACATCATTCACCACGCGGAGATGGGTAATTTTTTATCTTAGGTTTCACTATTTTCTGCATCTAAGTAACTTTTAGACAAACCCTGTTGATCCCAGCAATTTCTACAGACCCCTTCCGAATTCGCAGGCAGGTTATTAGAAGGTCGGAACCCCTGCCCAATGGCGGAACAACTGACATCGTGGAACGTGCAAGTCATTAAATAAGAAAGCGAAGGGAACGTCGGAGCGCGGCCAACGCTAGAAGCCGACGAGCCAGTCAAAAACAGGGACGAAAGTGCAACGTCACTGCCACGTCACCTTTTTTGTGGGTGTTTTTTTTTTCTCTTCTACTTCAAACAAACGCATAAAGTGTGCCGTGACGTTGCGGTTTTAGTCCGCCATTAAGCAGATATTCCACGGCTGCCAACAGAGGGTAGGTAGTATTTCGAAAGGGGTCTATACCGTTAGCATTATGGGAAAGATGTAAGAGGTACTTTGTAGACCGTGTGGTGTGAACAAGTTTGAAATAGCCTGAATCGGCGTCATGCGTTAAGGTGGTTAATTGGGCTAGTTTGTTCATGGTTTAAAAAGTATAAAAGCGCCGAAAACAACAGAACGAAGTAAGACAACACAAGGCGCACTCGCAACTGTTGTTTATTCGGAAAGAACAAACATAATAAAGGCTCCATCAGCTTGTCATCGGCGTCACGCCATTTTATAAAGTGCTGTAGTTTCTTTGCGTGATTTGTTCTATCTTATTCGTCTACTACTTTTTTTGAGGTACTTATTTGTTTCCAGCTTGCGCTTGCTTTTTTTTTCGCTCATGCGTGTCCAATGTTATTATCCAAGAACTTTCTCTGAAGCTTCCTCACTGTTTACTGGGTTTCCACTTTCCTCTAATACAATTGGCATTTGCGCCAGCACACGCAACGAAATGGACGTGATCGTATTCCCCACTCACGCTCAATAAGCTCGAATGGGGGATATGATGACGTCAATTTCGTTGCGTGTGCTCGCGCACGCCAGCGGTTGCTGACTCATGGAAAGATAGTGCACCGCTTATTATAGACACTGAAATGTTCGCTTCACCATCCCTTTAAGCTTCCTTCCTGTTAGCCGAGACAAACTCAAAAGAAACGTGATCACAATCTTCTCCCTTATATTAATAATAGCGGTTCTTTACATGGAGCTAGCTAACCACGACAGGCACGAAAGTGCTTAACACCGTATTTACTTTAGCAGCGATTTCGGTGTTTACGCTTGTGGCGGTTCGAATGCCCAGTAATCAAATTAAATACAAGAAAGGACATAAACATGATTATATTATTTATTATCGGGTAATCAGGATACAAGGCTCTAATTTTCTTCGCTAAATTAAACTTAACGCTGATAAAGGTCACAAAGAGAAGGGGTGATCAAGCCAGTGTCAGACTAACATCACTAATTAAAACCATGTTTGCGTTTGGCCCTCACTTCAACTTTCGCAACATTTTTGTTTTTTTCTTGCTTGTCGAGGGTTTTAAAGAAAATGTCAAGCTTCACTGCGAAACAAGACGCTAGTACGAATGAGTTCTTGATTAAAGACAATCACACATAAAGGAAACAATACACGATTCACGGACTGTCCCAATAAGCGCGCTACGTCCTAATGAGCAATGAGCAGCAAAGGAGAACAGAATGCTGTGTCGGAAACATCGATTGACTATACAATGAAGGGCTCAGATTTAATTATATTTATAAAGACAACAAAAAAATGTGAAAAAGGTTTCATATACCTGTGTTTGATCTGTCCATTCGTTTTTTTTTATTGCTACATTTGAAATGTGGGAAGTACTTCAAGTACATCCTACTGAACGTACTACTCCATGTAGGTCTAGAAAACTTGTATATCAGTTCATGTACATTCTCTGAGTATGCACTTGCAGTTTACATAATTGTTTTCTGGTACTTTCTGGGAGAGTACATTTCCAGACTTCAAAGTATATTTCCTATATTTGGTGTTGTTAAATTTGTATCAAAATGATGCTTTGTCAACTGTGAAGAAATAGTGGGAGGGATATTCTACTCTCACCAGAAACGCACGCAGACAACCCATTGCACCGTTTGTACCGGGAGCGGCTCGGTGAAATTAAGCTCATTCAATGAGCGTGCTTGGCTTTCTCAGTGATATCCCCAAATTCTGAGGTAAAATATAGAAGTTCAACAACCTATAAAGAAAAAAAAAAGACGTATCATTACGTGAGAACGCCCTATCGTCTTTCAAATTGTCATCTGGTCATTTCTGCAAGAGAAGTGATGACGGGTATAAGACTGATACAAATAAGTGCATTATAAGTAATTGATTGTGTTAAATAGGGCGTCAGCGAGCGTAAAACAATTACTGGCCACTTGACCATTCAGTATTCGCCGCCATTTCCAAAAATAATTGATGCACCCCCGATTACCTCTGAGGCAATACATAGCAGTTTGAAAAATATACACTGTATAAGGGAATGAAATAGCAACATAAAAGATTGTGATAGAAAGTTCTTGTACTTTACTTCGAATGTATATTTACTTTATAGTGCTTTACTTCAAGTACATTGCACCCGCTGTACTTACTACTTTACTTAAATTACATAGCCTCTAATTTACTCTGTACCTTCACAAGTACTCTTGCATGCATTTTACCAAACACTGGTATTTATTACGTTGTATATGAATAAATCTTGTTTAAATATTTTGGCGAATTATATGTAGTGCTTCTCTTTATTGATTTTGTACTTTCTTGTCTTGTACGTGCTTTGTTTATGATCTTGAAATTTTGTATTTTATTAGTTCCTTTAAAGGCCGACGACCAGACCCAAGATTCTGTAAGGCAGAAGATCCTCCTCGCCATGTGGGAGGAGGAAACAGGCAACGGTGGACAGGATAAAAGGGGTTGGGAGGAAAAAGGGGAAAAGTGGAAAACGCTAACGGTCTTTAACGAGCCTGTGCGGTATTTCGAATAAACAGTAAAATTCTCGGGTCCGCCTCGCCCAGCCCTTTTTAAGCTTTTATGACTACTCATAGCTTGATAAAACTCTGGGCTTCGCGTACCATGTTCATACTTCTCGCTTCATTTTCCGGCGTTCTTGTCGACTAATCCCGCAATTACCATTGGTTGAGAAGTGATAATATTATACGCTCGGGACTCGCCACGCCCTACGGTTTTTAGGCTGTCAGTGACAACAGTAACTATAACAGAAAACACATACAAACGATCAACAGATGAGGCGCAGCGCGCCCAAGCGGCATTGCCATTTTAGTTAGCGAAACTTCGAACGTCGAGTCTACTATTCTGAGTCATGTTTACGCCATATAGACTGACCTTTGAGAAAAATGAAATGTCATTTAATGCAGTAGCGGTCCCTTTAACCTTGATATTTCCACTTATCCTCCGAATCTGGATTTTTTTACTAACTTTGTCTTACCAGTGCGTAGATCCGTTTAACCATTTTTCACAACATATCTATTTCTGAAATCTAACCAAAGATAAATCAAACTGTTAAATCATGAAATTAAATAGATAAAAAAGCAGCTTCGTAGTAAAAAAAAAACGGAAAACGATGTATTTCATCAGGTCGTTTTTTTCTCCATAGAATTACAAAGCGTAGCTCTCTTTCTGTGAAAAATAGGACCAACAAGCTTGCCAGGGTCTACGGCGGGTGGCGACGCAGACGACCAACTCGAGTAGTGGGGTGTGTTTACGAAGAACGAAGAACGTATTGACAAAAATTCTACAAAAAAATGTAATTATTTTTCGCCCGAATGTTAATGCAAGAATCGACAGCAATCGATTATGATAAGGGTTACCAAAATTCTAACATGTTGGAATAAAGCGTAAATAACTAACAAAAAAAAACATTTTTTTTTTGTATTAGCGAGAATTGCCGGAGGAAAAAAGATCTGCGCGGAGCTACAACGCACTCCGCACAGACTTATTGTGATTGACCTTTCTTCGTGTAATTCTGACCTTTCTCCAAACCCTTGCCTCCCTTTGAAAATCCATCGCATAGCAGAGAGCCTGACTTTTAAAATGCGAACAGCGGGTTTTCGTTTTCTGAATTTCATAAATGTTTATTCTCGGAGCGCTTAATCTAATTCGTGAACACCGACGTCAAATTTCACACGTGTACACTTTAGCGGTCTGTTTAAATGTCCATAGCACGTTCACTTGGCCGTAGAGAATCTACGAGTTCGAGGCAATGCTGGTGGTTATGGACATCCGGTGGACACTAGCGCACTTTTTCTTTTCTGTTTTGTTGGTTTTGGGTGATGCTCAAATGAAGAGTGAACCAGCAGCCCTGCAGCAGCCAAATGCCCCGAATATGCCCAAATCCTTGAACTCAGCAGCAGCCAAGACCAAACAAGCAGCCCCAAACAAAACACCAGCGCCAGCACCTACATCATCTTCAACAGCACCGTCAACCGATCCCGAAATATGTGGTAAATAAGAGTGAAATCAAACTCCGTAATGGTTTGGGTTAACGGTTGTTGCCGTTTAGTTTTTATTAGATGTAATCGTATAGACTGGCATTACAGATGAGCCGTTTACATTTTCTCGCGTTTCATTTGTGGGCCAAACACCAGCAAAACACGACGGAGTACCCAGATTAAAGGGCACGCTGAGTATACAATCGTCACTTTGATTTGGACAAAATTAGAAAACGAAAAAAGGTAAAATTACCGCGTCACTGTGGCAAAAACACCACGTGAAAAATCAACACGATTTAAAGGTGCCCTGAGGAGGATTTTGAGATCGTCTAAATATAGGTATAACTCACTCTGCCGGCTCTAAGCATATAATACATTCCTAAGTCATGACGATACTCGACCGAATTTTCTATTAAAAAAGCAATGGAGGATCGCAACGCGTCGTGGTCATCTCTGACGATGGGAGGAGCATGTTCTGAAACCAGGACCACTGTCAGCCAATAGCAAGCGCAGGACCCTCGCGCCTCCGACCGGTGGAACCGCGGAGTGATACCTCGAATGCGCGCAACTCGTTGCCCATGCAGCCCGGACTACGATTCAAACCAGCGAGCGCGCGCTTAAGAGCTGACGATCGGACACATCACTAACACGGAAGACAACAAAAAACAACAACAACAACATAGTACGGTGTTTTTGAGACGGATCGCGGCGAGAGAACACAATATTTTTTGTGTTCCTTCGCCAAGAAATGAATTTTTTTTACTACTCTTTTTTTATTATCTGTAAAATCATCCACATTTTGTAATAACAGCGTTTTCAATCTTAACGAAATGTTGTTTTCATAGGTCACATGTCCTTGTTGACGGAACAATGTTCCTCCCATCACCGGAAACGACCTCGGTGTGTTCGCCTTTTTTTTTTTTGAGGAAGATCGGCCGCGCATAGTTATGATCTATGAAGTTTTGGGATGCTTAGAGCCCCCAAAGTAAGCTATTGCCACATTTAGGCAATCCCACTAGCCTCTTCGGATACCTTTAAGGCCTTCTCACGCAACACAATTTTTTTTAACGTTGCAGTACCTGTTTCAAAGTCTTAAGTGTAAAATAGCGTGATTTGTACCTGCTTCTGAACGTAAATGAGTGAGATATTATCACAATACAAGTTTGTACTATCTACGAGTATTTGTACTAGGTTCTTAATTTGTGTTGTCATCTTGCTCACTAAGAGCATATGCGGTTCCTGTCGGGAGGCACGGCAAGCTTAGGGTTTGAATAACATATATTTATGCTTGTATGTAAACAAAGAGTTACACTGAGACTGCAGCATGCGCCGATCCACGATGCTTAGAGAGCACCTTAATACTGTACACAAATGCTTCTTTGTTTTGGCTCTAACAAGTAGTAACAACGTGAGTCAATTAAATCGAGAAAATTCTTCAAATACCGAAGACAAGACCGCCTGTAATCTATGTTTATTCAATGTACAAAAATTAGATGTTAAAACTATTCGGTCGCTCGCTCTAATAATGTACACGGGCCTTTCTGTCGTTCAGGTATTATATCAAATTATCACAAATGCGTTCGAAAGAAAGATGACGTTCGGTGTATACGTATATACAAAATACCAGATGCTAGAATGTTTAAAAGAGATAATAGAAGCCTCTCTTTTTTTCTTTTACTTTGTCGCCCTAAGAGCTGTCGAAGACTGGATCGGAATTTGCATTACAATCGCTGCAGTGCACGTTGCAACATCTCCCAAAAAATGTAAGTATAATAAGAACAATTGACAGTTACCTTTATCTGCAAAGTCATTTAACACATGAAGTAATTATATAAGGATTTAAGGAATGATCGTTTAGATTTATTTGAAAAACATTAAAGAGTCGTTTTAGTGAAGAGGGGCATAATTATTTATTAATTACCACCACTCTATTCTGTAACACCGCAGTACGCAGAGTACCGACGTGAGGTAAGGTAGTAAAAGATGTAGTAGGAGACCCACTAGTAGGTGAACAAGAATGCTTGCCTGTACTCGACGGGCTAGCCGTTATAAGATATTTTAATTCACTGGGTGTCAGTCGTAGCTCGGCTGGTGTAGAGCAGGCATGGTTGCCTGCAGGGTTTTCTTGTACACTAAAAACTTTCTAGATAAATTAAAAAAAAAACGCCCAGCTGGCACAGGGATAGATCAATGAAATGCGGCGCAGGAGTGTTTTGGGTTTGATTACCGGTGCGGGATGTGAATAGAGCAGTAGCGTAATTATGAGTAAGTGCTTGTCTACATTCGTTTGCTTACGTTCTTTTTCATGGTAAAGGCTAGTTCGCACATTGGCTTTTGAATGTGACCTAGTGTTTTGTGTCCGTTTTCTGTTGCTTTCGACGAGAAAGCACACTGGCACACACATGTACCCTGTCGGGTGTGCTTGGAACGCTTCTGATATCCGTATATGTTTCAAAATGTTTTACGCACTATTATTTTTCCGTGAGCTTGAAATAATTATACCAATGTTATAAGCGACTATTTCTCATAGACAGTGCGTAGATTTCGTCTCATAAATACTGAAAAACCTTTAGTTATTCACATATTGGAAATGTTCGAAGGCAGCCAGCTTGGTACATGAAGTCAGTGTGTCAGTGTGTTATCTCACCGTAAGCGGTTACAAGCGGGCACAATACACTCTGCCACTCAAAACCAAATGTGCAGATCGCTTGTGATGGCATTTATGCCATGCCATGGGGGTAGGCATGGACGGTCAGATGAACGGGCAAATTTTTCGGAGAGGGTTTTGTTATAACTTATAAGAAATTGCATATTATGAAATACCTTAAATAATAGTGTAGGTGTCAGTGCATGAATTTACTTGGCTTTGTATATGACAAAAATCACCTGATATTTAAACGTACGGGAAGTAATAGATATATGCCTTTGTAGATATTCATACATGTAAGAAATGTAACTATTAGCTACGTGTGCGACCAAAAGCGTAGCTGTGGTCGGCATTTGCAATTGACCAAACTATAGCTTTTTGTATACTGATAATACCTGCACAATCGCCCGTTTACGGCGAGTCAAATTTTGCCAATCACAGGGAACCAAATCCTGGTCGTAACGCCACGAACGGAAGCCATAAAGGGGAGCAACAAAATCAACTCAGTGCTAATACTTTGCTTCACCTTTATTCAAGGCGCAGCTGACACTACCAGCTGATGGGAACAATCAGATAGCGTGAAAAGCGTACCAACTTGATGTTCCTCATGTTTCTGTACGTGTTCTGTCATCGTTGAGCCAATCATAAAAGAAAAGACTTAGTGACTTGCACTTTTGACGCTGCTTGGTTGGTCCGTCACCTCGGATCGTCGGCTGCGTCTGGCCTTCAGCCGAAACGTAGAATCGACCGGGATTTGTAGGGTGATTACCCATGTTCCCTAGGGAATTCGGCCATTGCTTATCTCCTTGCCACGAATGATTTGACCACCCATCACACTGCACCCAGCCAAGATGTCATATCTTTCCACAGATAAGTTGTAACCCAAGACGACGCACATTAATAGTGTACCTTAAAATCCGTCGACAGGAGAGGGCATAGAGCAATGCGAGCTTAGACCACGCACATATAGTTGTTTCGTTTCCACGTTATCGATAACTTAGATTTTTTTATCACGACGATAATAATGAAACGTTAGGAGTACCTTGCCCATCAATGTTTCCTTTTCACTCCCATAAGTCAGTACCCTCGTAATCATATGATATCAGCAATAGCCTTCTGTGCTCTGTCATCGTTATCAATTGGACGGTGGAACTCGTTCTGAGCATGTGCAACAGTTTTCATCTACAGAACATGATACGCCGAACATGCGTCCACAGTTCAGTGACTCGGTCATTTTTGCAATGTGATAAGCAGTCGAGAGGTGTATAGACCAACGACGCTGCACGTGGCATTTGAAAAAAAAGCGATGATTACGATAATCTCTGTACGGCATTTCGCACGCGGTTTGAAAGAAGATTCTTACTATATTAGGAGGGTTTTAAGCAGCAGAATCGGGTACGAGCACCTGCTGCATTTTGGTTGTCGTGATGAGGTCTAGGCTTCTGCACAAATACAGAAACCAACAGTATGTTTTGCACAATAAGAAAACTTAAATGACAACAAAACTGTATGAGGATGTCTCTACAGCGTGCTTATCTCCTATATGTTTGTGTTACGCAAAAATAATTTACTTTCAAGTTACCATGCTTATGTCCATCAAAAAAATTTGATTTCTTTTTTATTTTTTAGCGTGTGCCTCAGTGCGAATCCCAGACGGCGCTTATGTACAGATTCTTTATTTTTTTTCATGAAAAGGAATAACATTATTTATTTAAGCGTTTGCATCAATCCTCATACACCTTGTAAATTAAGCCTGAATGATTGTAGCAATAACCTAGCGCACTCTAAGAAGAACCTGCGCCTCTACTTACCCGCAAAACACTTGAAGAGCCAATCTCTGTGATTTACGAAATCAGCTCAGTGAATGTTGAGGCGGAACATCCGTTTAGACCTAAAAATGAAGTCTGCGCTTGGCATCAAGCATTGCAAAGCGTCAGGCTTGCATTGCGTAATGCCACAGACCAGACTTCATTTTGAGGTCTAAACGGATGTTCCGCCTCATCATTCGCTGAGCTGATTTCGTAGATCGCAGAGATTGGCTCTTCGATTGCTTTGCGGGTAAGTAGACACGCAGGAATTTCTAGAGTGCGGGCTTAAAGTTTTATCGAAGGTACATTTAAGTGGTCAGCTCAGCACTATGAAATAATGCATAATTCCTTTCCAAGTAAAACTTTAAACAAAATCGTTGAAATCGAAAATGCTGCGGCTAGGCGCCGACGCAGAAAAAAAGAGTCGAGCCAAAATTGTAAGGTTTGGCGCTTATATATTGAAGTGGTGCCACAGGTACGCAGATAAAACTAGTAACTTAAAAGAGAAAGCAGAAGACCAAGTTTGACATCGAGTCGGCGGCAAGTGTTCACAATCGCCTTTGCCTTTTTTTATTTTCAATTTTCAACTCCCGACAGATACTTAAATCTGGGTGGAGGTTAAAGTAAATTGCAAATCCAACCATCAATGAAAATATAATTAGTATATTCGAGGTACTTCCATTACAGACCATGAAGGTTATCTTTTCATCTAATGTTCGCTATCAACACATGAAGTAGAAACAGTATACATGTACTAGTCACTGCCTTTTTCTTTTAAATTCGATCGAATTAATATCAACCATCCTTGTCTTTAAATTCAGATATATAACCCGTGCCACCATTATATGAGATAATATTGAATCATTTTTGACAGATTGCAGATAAGTGGAAGGCCCACATGACAACGAAAACGAAGAACGAATCTGACCTATTGACAGAAATCTGCGATGCTGTAAGAGACTAATATATTTATCCTTTCTTGTATGAAACCTTCTTTTTATGTTTTAGCGTTTAAGCTTAATTTAGGCTATCTACTCGAAACGTTTTACCGCATTTCGTCTAAGGTAAACTAAAGGAGACAAGGTATTTAATGCACCGCTGTAAAATAGAGCTCTGATCGTCCACTGAATGATCCAAATGTCGCTTCAAAATAAGTGCACTCAAAGACGGGGCCGTGTTTCCGCGATGCTTCGCTGCAGATGTAGTCGCAATGCGGCAGGATTGCTTGTTGTCTTTGAAGGATGTATTCCGATACCTAAGTAGAGACGAGAAATTAAGCGGGTTACTAAGCACGATATTCTTTTGCTTTTTTTTCGGCTCGGTTTCTTAACACAACTTTCCGTCGTAGCAGGACGAGCCCGACTTGCTTTTCTAATAGTACCCAAAACTCGCTCTCTCTCTCCTCCGACGTCTTTTTGGCACGTCGGGCACAGTCGTACACACCACGTCGCCTAATTCTGCTCAGCGATCTCCTCTTCGGCCCGATCCTTCCTCTTGAGAGGTATTTAGAAGGCTGCGACACATCCAGTGAGCATGCACTTTGTCCCGCGACCCGCGCTTGCGCGCGTAAGGAGAGGAGGAATAAGACGCCCAGAAATTTTCAGAGAAAGAGAGGTGGGAGTAACTTACAGAAATTCTACCACGTTTAATAGAGTATGAGTAATAAAGTTTGACTGCACATCACTCTCGGGTTGAAAACAGCAAGGTACACCCGCCGGCAATATGAACGTGAACACCTTACCTGGTTTCTTGCCTGTTTTACGGCTGCCTAAAGCTATATTAACTCTCAATGTCTCAAATGGCACGTGGCTTGGGGGTTTAAACTGTGCGTTCTAGCCCTCTTCTGGAACAGAGCTTGTTCCAAAACTTGTAGGAGCGTCAAAAACAAGAAGAGGGCGGTTCACCTTCATATCGCTGACGGGTGTACCTAATACCCCAGATTAGTGAAAAATATTTTTCGCCGAGAGGAAAAAGAAAAGTCATAATTTCTGTGTTGTATATTTGCGGTGCTGTCGAAACCGGGGAAAGTTCGAATTGCAAAGCACTGAAAATTTTAGTTACCAAAATCAGCTACCATCCTAGATCGACGAAAGTTCCTCCTGACAATGTGATCGTGTATATGATCACATCATTTATTAGAGTACTATTAGGGGCGAAGCTCCTTAGAGTCTAGCCTTCTCCGTCCGTCCGTCCGGACGGCGCACGTGCTCACATAAAAAGAAAACAAAAATGTTTGCGCAGTCGACAGGATTCAAACCTGTGCGGGAAGGCCCCAGTGGACTTCTAGTCCATCGCCTTAACCACTCGACCACGACTGTGGGACGAGTAAGGGGCTCTGAGATGTGGTAGTAACTCAAGAGCTAGGGTTTCTGTTATGGATGAAACGTTGCATGTAGCCGCTCAACGTCTATGCAGGAGAGGGCGCTGCAGTCAAATGCGTATATAATCGTGTTAAACTTTGCATGCATTGGCTCAACGTTTCTAGACGAGAGGGCGCTGCGGTCAAATGCTCAAATACGTATATAACCACGTTCCATACCACACATTCTCTTTCTGACATGGACCGTTGACTTAAGCGGTGGAGATGCGTTCCCACGGCTTCTAGCGGATCCAAGCTGATCCGCTAAAAGAACCACTGGTTCTGCATTTCACCGACCATAAAGCAGTAATAATGAAGTCGAAACGCAACCTGGAACTCAGCACTACCTTTGAGCAACGAAAAAAATCAGCACCATCGGCACTACTTATGAACAATAAAATCAGTACCATCAGCACCGCCAGAGCTTCGCCCCAATCCACATCATTCACCACGTGGAGAGGCGGTCATTTCTTTTTTTCACCTGGCCACGTTTGGACAAATTAAGGAAAGGAGCTTAAAACACTAGCTATTTCACAAAAGAATGTTAAAGCCCGTTCACAATTGTAACTCGCAGTGGTCGCGCGACCGAATAGCGACATGCGACAAGCGACCACCGACGTTCAGACTTTGGGCGATAGGCGGGTCGCTTCTCAAAAGGTTGGGAGCCTCCGTCGAATACAACCGACACGCGAAGTCAAGTTTCGCGTTTCGCTGATTCCCCATTTTTGTTGGCGTACATCTACACATCTGTTGTGTTCGCCATATGAGAAAGCCTCTTAAATTGGCCTTGATCCTTCAAAACTGTACAATGAAAGAACAGTAGCTACATCTGCGTGCAATCACTCCACCTTCCGCGGTGCAGTAGGTATACCTGTCAGGTCAAAAGTAGTACAAATTTGCTGCCAGGCTGAATCATTTTCCGGGCACTCGTACCAATTGGGGTCCTGCTTTCCATTTGAAAAAAATGGGTGCTCGTTAATCGGGCTGAGCAGAGCCGCCGCAGAGAGCTCCATGACTGTATTGATGGCCGCTACCGCGAACCGAGGCGAACATACATTCCCACTCCTGCTGAAATGCTGGATGGTAACGAACGCGAGGCGCAACACGTAAGTTTCGAGGCGCTGCTGATTGGCTCAGCCGCACGGGGACTTTGCGTCCCGTCTGGAAAATTGGTCTGGAAGCAATTGCTCCGAACCGGTCGTTTTTGCCATCGCGGTTGTCGCTTTTGCGAAAAAAGGCTATCTCGCGACCGTTACGACTTGCAAGTGTAAAAACAGTTTTAATGTATTTTTTATTAATATTAAAATCTTTTATTTGCTCTATACGTAGCTAGCTGCTTGGCTGTGCGGCTTATAGGTCTTACAAGCAAAATCTGTAATTATCCTGCATTATGGTTGTTGGCATTTTGGCTCGCGTGGAAACTACTCTGGCACAGACAGTGCAATCTACGAGACACACTCTTGATTTATGTAACTCAGTCATGTTTGCAATGCCAGGTTCAGCTTTCATTCGGATATTTTCGTAATTTAAGTTGACAAAGTAGGCTTTATTTTATACGATTAGCTAAATCGAACTAATATTTTCAACGTCGTCGCGCGTGGCCGGGGCAGCATTTTGGCGGTCCGTTTTACTACGGCGTGATATTGATTCTAAATTACATATTGCGTCATATCGCGGAAGTAGATTAGAATAAGGCTTACAACCATCCCAAAATAAAAAAAAAATAATAAAGTTAGTTATATAACGACGTTTTTCTTCTAATTTTAAACAGATACTAGCTATTCGTTGCAATTCCACATGTAATTATGCTAGAATACATGATCGCAAAAATGCAAATATATATATTCGGTCCTTCAGATTTATTCACTCCATTCAACGTGACTCGGATAGTTTGAGCTGTGCTACAAAAAAGAAAAGTAAGAATAAAAAACTTTAATAAAGTTTACGTATGAAATGCACTGCTAATAATATTTCTGGGTCATACATTTCTAAAAATTGCCCTCATTCCGACGGATGCCAATTACTCAAGTTGCCTTTGGTCATGAGGCCACGTGTCTTATTGTTGTACGTGACCTCGCAATGAATGTTTGATAATATTTATTCCTATTATAACGTTCATACAATTTGCTGTCGTTTCAGAAAGACGAAAATGAAGACCCGGAATTCATGAAAACGTTTTCGGTAGGTTTACCACCGTCGTCGGAACATTGAGCGCGATACGAAATAATAGTCTTGTTTAAGAAACTAGCACATATTTTCTTTGCAAAATAGCTGCCTGATTTCTAAAATACCTCTAACGTACACCATTCGTCACAACGTATAAAAGCGTAGACTTTACGAGCGCCCTAAGGACACCACAGGTGCCTTTTCTTTTAAAGTCAAGCACTGCATGCGTGGCGAAATTGCCGAGGTAAGATAGTAAGCTCAAAATGGATTTTCTCCTAATCTATACAAGATGCATTACAACCCTCGCATGCAACCGCCTGACGCGGACTTCAGCCACGTGCAGTTACAGATTGCTTGTTTTTTCTGTTTCACTTTCTGGATCCTTTCATTAAATATAATTTTCTTGTTCTTCAAAACTCCCTTCGTGCCCCTCCCTCCCCCCCCCCCCCCCCTAAAAAAATGAAGAACAAAATCTGGTTGAGTGTGCAGAAATAGATAAAAGGCCTACACCATAAAAGGAATGTAATTGTGTTCACTTTATCGTAGAACGCTAGTTAAGCCAATCACTGAGATTTACAAACGGAGCCTAGCAAATGACTAGGCCTAAGACACTTTTCCGCCTGAAATGCAGTCTACGCTCTATAATCTGAGCATATGAAACTACACCGTATATGCTCAATATGCCATACCCTGGAATGAATTTATACGGTAAGCAAGTGTATTAAAATGCCTCTGTGGTGCATCGTAATGCAAGGAGGAGCACGCCGATCAAAGGACAACATAGAGGAGGCGCAAGGAACTGTCGATGACGAGGCAGCCAAACGCCTCGTCATCGCCATCGTCATTGGTTGAGGTCGGGGGGAAACAAAAGCACGTGGCGTTTTTGGGTACTAAACAAACGCACAAGGTGCGCAAGGAAGTAACCCACTTGCAGGCCATATAAGTTGAAACGATCATTTGTGCTTCGAAAGTCACTCAGCTCATGTATAAACCTTTACAGCGCTTTTCGTCCAAGCGACAAATGCCGAAGCGCTTGTGAATGCATGAGTGGCGTCTTGTATTCAGCAGAACAAAGCTAGCGCACGTGCTCAAAAGGCGTTTCACAGCTCAGTACAGAAAATAAATTATGCGGAGAGCTAGTTCGTCTGCCTTTGTCGCAGGGGTTGAGGTGACGTCAAAATGCTGAGCTCTGATTGGCTTGGATTGAAAGACAGGGGGTAGACCTCAAGGTACTCAAGGCAACTTGTTTTGAGGGCTACACACCATCCTTCAATCAGAGCCACACACAGCCCAGCATTCTGACGTCACCAAAACCCCTGCAAAAGAAGCAGACGAATTTGCGCTCCGCATTGTAATTGCTTATAAAGTGACTGGCTCGACGAGTGATCTACGGGACAGTAGACTCACAGGAATGTTCCCCAATGTACTGGCTTTGATCAAAAAATAATTTAAGCGAATATTCTTTAGTGGTTTGTACTTGTTCGCACCGTATTTTACAGATTCAGTTCTAGACATCACACTGTTCCGTGTTAGGTTTTTTATTAACTGTGCAAGTATCATCATAAATGGCACTTCTCTTTTCTAGGCCGATGACAAAGGAATGGTGAATGACACCTCAGTATTGTGCAGAATAAGACACACGACTCCATCTGAATGCAAAGTGCTGCAATAGATCGACGCTTAAACGTCCACAAAAAAAAAATAGCGATATCATTTAATTGTATAATTTCACACTTTTAATTTTTTTTAAATATAATGAAATGATTCAGTATAAATTATCTGGGTCCGGTAAATAAAATATTTCCTGTACTTATGGTTTTGATTGTGTCCAAAATGCATATAACGATCTCCGAGTTAATCATTCGTTTTCGTGTTTTGTGCGCCTATTTTTGACGTTGATCTCGTCTCTTTACCACCACTAAGGAGGGACTTGCTTTTTTTCATAATTTAATAACACCCCACTGCGTAAAATACTTTTTTTTCTCTCTTTAGACTGAGGAAAAGGAGTGAGTGGGGACAAAAAGCTTGGTCAGCCGCCATATCACTCTGCTTTTTTGTCGCCCCTTTTCAAATAGAAGGAAACAATAAAGATTAAATTAACGGGAGTTGGTAAAAAAAGAAAAGAAATGCCTTTTCTTTACTGCATGAATAGGCTACGCATTGACGTACTCTCAGCTTCCGCCAAATATAGTGCCGTATTTTCCGGTGTATAGTCGACGGACTATATGCATGTTTAAAAGTTAATTGTATTCTGGGCTGAGCGGACTCTACACAGGTGCGGACTACACACTTTTTTTTTTTCTTTCTAGATCGTTCAATGTGACAAGGCGTGAAGGATCTCATAAATAAGGGAGTACATTAATGTTGGTTTATATATGATACAAGCTTCTTTGTGAGGCAATACAGCAAGCATTTTAGGTGTGCTGTGTATGATAATCTGTTACGTTCAGACTAGAGGATCATGCACCGGGTACGCACTATCTAAGCAGAAACTTTTAGTTTTGACTCCTAATTTGCCTCTGCGGACTGTGCACCGGATTCGGACTATATTTCGGGAAATACGGCACTAGCATTAAAACTAGCACAGCGAAGGTCAGATGACAAAGCTTGAGAACTTACCGTTCTCTAATACAAAATTTGTAAGCGATTTTCGGAAACTTGTATTAAGAAAATGGAGACGAACGGAGCCGCGAATACTTAAAGAGGAATAGCGAACCCTGCTTAGAACACATTTCATTTTCTCTTTGAATAAGTTTTAATAAAATATTCTGATAACTTTTCAATTATATATTGGTGAACTCTAAAACTTTTGCATTCGATCCGGACTTCTAACGCTACATTTGGGTAAAGTGCCGGAGTGCGATGGTGCGGAATTCATTTGTGCAGCAACTTAAAACCATTTTTGTTTCTTCTCCCAAACTCACGGTAGACGATGTATGAATCCGAGCTCTAAATAGAAAGATATATATAATACTCCATACAATGTTTAGTTATTTTCAGTGCGTGGCACTAAATATCGCTCATAAAATATTTTTAGGCATGTCTTTTTAAAGATATTTTGATACAGCCTCTTAACACCTTTTTTATTTGATGCCACATTTAGAAACTTCTGTCAGTTCTTCTTTTCTTACATTACACACCTATATATACATCTTTTTGAAAAAATAAGGTTTATGTATATTCTCGAAGCCCCCGTGCTTCATTTTGCTGTGTGTACAGTACTTCGTAAACTTAAAGTTACCAGCCGATTGCACTTAGTTGTTTGCGGCTGTGGCGCTAGCCAATTACTTGATAAATTAACTTCCTGATCACTACTCTACCCAGGATAGCTAGCTACTGAAATCGCCCCATGACCGACTGATTGGTGGGTTGAATGCAATCGGCCGGTCTTTCTTAGGTTCTTTGGCGGTGTTAAGTTTTTAGTGGCACTGCATACGTGCACAACCGTATTGGCGTGAAATGCCTGAAGATGTCATAAAAAACGTTCAGCAATGTTGAGTAACTTTAAATATTGTGCAACGTAGAAAGGTAGCCAACGTGCGAAAGACACCTGTTGCGAGGAACTTACAACTAATCTGGTTCGGAAATGTTCCGCCTACAACTTTTAGTAATAACCAAAATAACGTATTCCTTCACTTTGGTGTCACGTTACAGCGTGGGGCGCGTCTGTGTTGGAGCGTTCCCTAAGGGTACGTCACAAACTCTAGAACAGGAATTAGTTGCAACGAATAATGGGTACAAATCGATGAAAGCATGAACGCTCTCAAGTCGTTACTATTAATGTTGTTTTCAGTCGTGTGAAACATTGATTATCTGTTATTTCTTTACACGTAATTTCATTACATTCTGTTGCAACATAAGAACTTCAGAAAAGGATTCGCCCTCCCATACACAAAAACGATCTGCTCAATGCCCAAAACGCTGGGGCACATTGAGCCAATTGCGTATAGCTCTGGTGTTGCTCCTTCCTTCCCACGATTTTGGAAAATTGGTGTGTTCGTGTTCAGTGAGCCTGAAGTGCATCTTCGACTGGTGTGCACACCGTCTTATTCCTCCCATGTCTGAGAACAGTAGCACTGATGTTTGTAATGGTATTAGCGACCATAAGACAATAGTTGTTTCTCTTCCATTAAAAATCAACTATCGCGACTCAACACGTACGACTCCCGTTTATGAATTTTTTTAATGCGGATGACGTTTTTATATTGGATCATCTAGAACTCTCTCTCGATTCATTTCGAGTGCTTTCAGAAACTCACAATGTGTGCATTAACAACTCATGGAACTCATTTATAGCAATTATTAAAAACTACGTTACTAAATATGTTCTAACAATATACAAAAAGAATATAAACAAGAAAACTCGTGGATCACACGTGAGATCATTTATATTGGCCGCAAATTTCCGTGCTACGGAAAAACACAAAAAGAAACCCTCCCCTGAATTATAATCAACTTCTTTGAGAAGTGAACTAAACCAAAAGAAAATGAAATAATAATGTCCTTGGCGAAGTCAACGGACTACAATCATACACGTCCAAACTTTATGTCAACATGACCCAAAACATTTTGGAGTCACCTTCAACCTAAGCGAAAAATGTGAAACAACTTTTTAATTAACGATAATTTCACTCATAAGCGTATGTTATTGCAAAGGCTCTAAACAGTAACAGTGTCCCAGTGTTTACATCTGATAAGACCTTTTTCAAAAGTCCGCGCCAACGACTGTCCGCCATTGCCTGCTCACATGCACTGAGCATGTATTAGACACAAAGGTGACGTCAGCGTTCAGCGTCAACTCGGCTCAGCACGTGTTGATAACGAGCGCTGACGTCACCGTTCGGCCAGGACTCGGAGCCAATCACGCGCTTCGTGAGCAAGCAATGGCGACCGAACAATGTTGCTTGATGAACTTTTGAAAAGGGTCTATTGCTCGTTACCAACAGTTTAAAGTCTAGGTCATATTGAAAGGATTGCCGAACAGCACATTTCCGAAGAAGGTATATATTTGCTCTTTAACTAAACCTTGATGAAAAGAAAAGCCCCAGTCCAGATTTGATTTCCAAATCATTTCTAAAGCGGTACGCGGAGTGGAATTTTAAACAACTGCGCATTTTTTTTCTAGCAATCTTTACCCCTTGGGTCTCTGCCCGATGATTGGAAAGTCTCTAGCATTGTTCCCATCCTGAAGTCCGCAAATGCAACAGAATTTGCTAACTACAGACCAATTTCATTAACGTCCCAGTGTTGCGAAATTCTAGAACATACCATATGCTCACACCTTACTAATCATCTTGAAAACTACTTGTTATCAACAAAAAAACAGCATGCTTTCAGAAAAGGTCTTTCAACCGTAGCCCAACTACTGGAAAGAACGCACGAAATTAGTGCGTATAAAAACGTTCTAGAGTTGGTATCATATTTCTGGACGTCGTGAGGGTATTTGACAAGGTCTCCCACGACAAACGGTTCAATAAACTAAAATACGTTTTTAAACCAGACTCGTTATTAAAATGCATTGAACCTCACCTAAAGGTAAGGCAACACTTTGTAACATTCAACAACAAACCTTCTATCATATCGCCCGTAACCTCAGGAGTACCGCAAGGGACAGGTCAGGCACCGGTGTCGTTTTTAATATTTGTCAGTGATATAAATAACGATATAAATGTTCGCATAGAGAGAGAAAAAACTTTATTCGGTGCCTGCAGCCTCGGCCCCAGGGTCCTATGACGTGGCCTCACGTCGCCAACGACGGCCTCGAGGGGCGTTGCCTCTCAAGGAGCGCCGTGGCCTGCTGGATGGCCTGGAGTTGGGTGTCATAGTTCTCACTACGGATGGCTTTTTGTAGTTCGGGCGGGAGACCTTCCACTCGGCTGGCCGCATGCGGTCCCTTAGTACAGTCCCCCATAATGTGCGCGAGTGTCGCACGAGCACTTTTACAGAGCACACACTGATTGTCCTGATATAGTTCGGAAAGCACGTGTTTTCCGAACACCCGGGGGGAAGATCCACCCCGTCTGCAGTCTCCTAAACGTCACTGCCTCCTTCCTGGTTACGTTAGGGTGCGGTGGCGGCAGTCTCCGTCTTCCTAATCTTTGGTCTCTAATTATCTCGCAGTATTCGCGGGGGTCGTAACGCCAGGCCTGGCGGTCGGACCGGTCAGTCATCGCGTGAGCCGGCGCGTCCACTATCGCGTTCGTAGAGTCACTAAACACGCTACGCTTTCAGAGTACCGCATTCCTTTCCTTTGGCATTTTGCCGACCATACAGTCGCTCTATTCAACAGTATTCAGGTTCGCTGCGGCATCATTGGATAAAGGCAGTCACGTGAGTCGCTATCAATATCATCGCGTTTCTTCAACACCACCATCTTGGGTCCAGCGATCCTCTGCCTGCTGCTGTTTGCTGTTTACTGCGCGCGTGCGGTTAAGCCCATCGCTCAGCAAGCGCGTTTTCCGTGTCACGTCGAGGTACGAACAACACGACCTTGAGTCGCTGATACAGCTACGGCTGCGGCAGCTGGCTCAGTTGACAGTATACAGCTCGGCTTTGCTCAGCTACAGTCACTCCTCCATCTGCGCGTGGACCCAAGATGTCGGCGCCTGACGCGCTTCAGACGCGTAGTTTTGGGAGTTTCGGTACTGTGAAAGTGTAGCTTTATTTAGTGAC